TTTGAAACTTTGGCGGGAGAGGAGAGAAGCCCCAATGCCACTTTATACTATGAATTATATTTGCTTATATATAAGATTCGAGCAGTACGCCACTGTGATGACAAATTTGCTTGGATGATGCCCCGTACGACAACGAGGCTACTAGACAACATGCCTAACCCCAATCTTAATTGTTCAAGCCAGGGCTAATACTGCTTCCTATCAAAGTGATGTTCAGATAACTGTGCCGGGCAAGAATTATTTCATCCTAATTGATTCAATTCAATCGCAAGTTCTTCTTCGCATGAGTAGCCGATCATACATTGTAAAATTAGTTACAGTATTTATGTACATAACAAACGATCAATCGCAAATTTTCAGTCGCTTCCGCCTATTAAATGAATACGGGGAAAAGTTTTGGGGGAGAAAATAATGTAATTGAGTCATTTTCACGCAACATGAAAACAAACTAAAAACGTTGCATGTAAAATTCAGTAGTTTCTTGCGGAATAATTCTTACGTCGATTTGATCTAAATAACAAAAAATCGGCAAACTGTTGATTACTTTAGAACGATTGCCTAATCTCCACACTTTAGCATAGGCCTTGCAGTTTTGCATTTAAAATAATATAATAAAATAAAAATATCTCTACGTTCAACGAAACCAAGAGGGTTTTAGAGGAAAATGATGCGAAACGCAAAAAAGGAAAAAAAGGAAGGAAAATACGACGAAGCAGAACAATGATTAACTTTAGAGAAAAGGCAGCAGAATGTTTGAAATCTGCATTGAAATCGAATCAATACAAAAACAGTATGACGGAGATTTACTAGAGGATCGTAATGGGTAGGGGCCTCGCATAGTTTTGTTTTCCCGAAAAATGGTTACCTGTTGTGGATAGCAACACTTACCTATGGGCAAATTTTTACATCCTTTGATTACTAAAAGCATTTTGCTTTAATTTGTAATTGAACTGTGCTGGTGTTTGTATATTTGTTGTTTGTTGCTTGTTTTCATACAATTGACTATATTTGAATTTGAAAATTTTGTAACAAACTACCAAAACTCTGTATGAACACGAATTAGTTTTTTTGCCTTCAGATGCGATACGATATTTGCGCTTTGTCTGGTATAAAATTGCATGTGACAGCAACTACCACTACTACTACTACTACTACTACTACTACTGCTATACATAATGGCAATTATCTCGAATTTTGTTAGCAATAAGAATGTTCAATTTTTCAAACATGTGTTTAGGGTTCGCGTGTATATATGTGTATGCTTGATTCGATAACATGTTTATAAATTTTGGTTTGATTGTTAATGGTAATTAAGGCTTAGGTGAATTCTTTTCTATTTCTGTTAAGAGAAATATAATAAAACGAACACCAATAAACATGTGTAAAAAATTCCTTTAGTTATATATTTGGTTATGTACGCAATATTTCGCATAGTTTACAGACGTTTATGCGATGTCTATTATAAACGAGCGAAACTCGTGCCTGTTTTTCTTTTTTTTTCTTTTTTTTTTCTTTGTTTTTGTCTATATGCAACTCTTCTTAATGCTCACTGAACACGTTCTGCAAAAAGGAGAAAAAATATAGAGTATAATTAATCTCTTGTTACATACACACACACACACACAACACACGCATACACGAACTATGTGAAAAAATCGTGATTTCATTGTGTGACCACCAAACCAAACAATTGCTACATTTATACATTTATTTTATGTTTTCTTTTTTAATGTTATTTTTCAGCAATTTTTTTTTTTTATTTTTTTTTATTTTCGTAAGATTTTTGTAATCAAAACGGGATTTCTAACGTAATGTGTAATGAAAGACAAAACGTTATGTTAAACAATAAATGTTGGTTTCATTACATTATACAATAACTCACTGAGGAACGGAAGCGTACTAAATTTGTTAAATAGTTTGTATGTTATAGAAATACACACCAAAGAGTCTGCTAGTATAACATAATATATCTAGTCCTTGCTATTATTCGTTTATATATCCATCGTTCATAATGATTCTCTACGCATTCATTTTTTTTCACAGTTTTTCCCGCACATCTTCACGTTCGTTAATTAACTTATGCCCTTATGCGTCCATGCATCCATCCACTCAATCATCATCGTTCTTTGACTTGAACATTTGCTCGTCATTCCCAGACTTAATTCCTTCGCCGCTAATGCCTCATGCTAAGGTCTATAAACTTTTTCCTATTCATCGGTCTTTCCATTTGTTTATGTCCAACTTTGTTCTATAAGTCACAGTTCGTTTTAGACAAATTTGTAGCTCTGAGTTTTCCTTCGATGGGCTACCTTCGGAATTATAGATCCATCTGTCCATTTTTCTCTTTATCCAACTTTCCGTTTATAACTCGGTTTAAATTTCGGATCACACGCCATGTTGTTTGCCTTCTAAAGCTGTAATGCGAAAAACAATTTAGCTAAAACTATTCGAAAGCACTTCTATAACTGACGAAAAGAGGATATTTTTTGCCAAGTGTCTTGTATTCGGATTTTGAAGCCTTTCAGCATATTGGGGCGAAGATGAACGCAAAAGCTTGACCGGATATTTAAAAAGTATTCATTCCATTTCATAAAAGAAGTTAAAAAGTCGAACCCGATATCTCATTTCATAAGTGATCTTTTCTATAGTTAGTCTTTACGCGCTTTTCCACTATCTCATTTCTCCTTCTTATCCATGCGTTGGACTATAGTGTATGTCGGGGATTCGACATAAAGCGAATATAAGTTTGTCATTTGTATTGCATTTGAAAATGAATAATAAAAATGAAATGTGCTCTACATTCAAAATTTTTTTTTTTGTTAATTAATTAATATTTCGCGGGTGATTTAGTTCAGTTTTGATTTTGTTTGTCAGATCGAGGAAGTAAAAGTTGGTGCCAAATACGTAACACATGCGAAATGCTGCATACAAATTCAGTTATTAAATCATTCATATCACTATCAATGAATGCACCTTCACGTGTACGTATAATTTAATTAAAAAAATTCTTTGCTTACACGCCCTTTCACTTTTACAAGTATTTAAAATAATTATGACTTTTTCATTATAATCTCGAGTACTTAATATTTAAATTTTTAATTATCCCTTTAATGTTACATGGGGTACTAAAAAGATGACGAACTTTTAATTCAAAATAATAATAAGTGTTAGGTGTTGGCAAAAAAATTATGATCAGCGACTTTTACAGGTAAACATGGTAAAGAGATGGGAAAAATCAATGTACATATTATTATTATTATTATTATTATTAATTTCGCCAGAGAAATAAATTCTAAGACTAAACTCTTAAAAGCACTAGCATCTAAGGCTATCGGCTTTTATTATTAAAAACTCTACTGCACTTGAGATTCGAACCCACGACCATTGACTTGCTAGTCGAGATTCCTCGCCTTCGGCCACTCAGGCGGATCAATGTACATAACAATGTACATATAGTTTTGAAATTCCTCTACATAAAACAACAGTTGTCCATTTATTATTATTGATTGTTTATTATTTTACTCGGCGTGACACACCTCTCATTTAAGAAGTATTATGTTACCATTGGACTACCCGAGTGAGTAACATTACGCTGCTGTCAATACACGAAATGCGAAATTCTTCACATATTAACTAACCATTTTGAAGTAACAGGAAACAACTCAAAGGACTATATCATCTAACCGCAACCAATAAATTTATGATATATAAGGAAATTGTAACAAAGTGTATAAAAGAAAAAAAAGTCAAAAATTATGCAATAAATTAAATTTCGTATTGTATTAAAAATTACTAGTGTTAAGTAAATTTAAGATATATAATGAAATTGTATAAAAGTGTATAAAAGACGAACTGAAGGAAAGAATATAAAGAAATTGTAAGAAATTAAACGTAAGTACATTTATTTCATGCATCTATATTCGCAGTATAATTTAGATGAAAAAGTGATCGTGTTGTAATAAGCGCTTTACAAGCTGAATAATATGCGCTCACAACGCCTGGACTAAATTCGCTAAATTCCCTGTTGAAAGGCAAAGCAGAGTCGCTTATAATAAATAAATGGTTAAATGCCCAACTTAACCGACAAAAGGGATTCAATTCTGTTAAATAACAGACTAAAGGGATTCAATTCTGTTAAATGATAGACAAAAGCCTCACACTGTTCATGGGACACTCAAAATTACATTTTCAACATTCATTTTTGTTGTTGTTGGATTTGAAGATATCTGTTGCCGAAAGCCATCAAACACGTCCAGAAGCTGGTGGTGATGCTGCTCCATCATATCCCATTCGTCGGTTGTGGTTTCGAAAGTTTAACAGTAGTAGCTTCGATGTCAACGATAAAAGCTTCTTTCAATTTACACCCGTGCACAGGTTACTTATCTAGAAAATTTAGCGCAAAGGCAGTTTCTTACCGCGGATTAGAACAGTAAAGTCTCAAAGCAAAAGACGGGTTTTATTCATTTCCGATTAAGCTTAGATTGGAAAACACGAAAAAGTCGTTAAAACACTGTAAGCTTTATTAGATGAGTGAAGAAAAATGGGAGGTGAATAATTCTATGCGTAGACGCACTTGACAGTTTTGGAAGCCATACATTATTTCGCTCTCGCTAATTTTAACAACAACAATGACAATAATTGAATTATTTCCCTCTCAATCTTTTTGCCAATGCAAATTCTGTTTATTTCTACTCTCTGTCTGTTTCTCTCTCTCTCTCTCTCTCTCTCTCTGTCTGTCTCTCAAATCGTTTGCCCTGAAAGCTTTTTGTTTACTTTATTTTTGGCGATTATAGTTGCAGCTAGGTTTCTGTAGGCAGCGTTTACGCAATAAAAAGTCAAATTTTGGATCATACGGATTTTTTACATTATTGTACAGTGCAGAGGAAATTTTTTTTGCATCGATTGAAAAGTTCTAACAGAAGTTATGACGTTTTGCAACACTATAGTATACACGAAAATACATCGCAGGGTTTTTTCAGTCATCAAGACAAGTTAAAAAAAAAAAGATTGTGCTGAGAATTTTATAATTTTTCAATAATCAGGAGAAGCCAGAATTAGGTTTTGATAAGAACTCCGTTTGAAACGTAATTAAAGAGAAAGTGTTCTATATAAAAATATAGAACATGTTTCAATTTAGCGGATTCAATATGATGTTCCCGGACGCAGGACGCGTTTTCAAGGCTTCTTATAAATGTTTTTCAGTGTCGATGATGCCCGGTAATGAGCGACAAGAAATAGAGAATGGTGGCAAAATAATCATGCCTGCGTCGGCCTTAGATTCCCTTACCCGTTTAAATATTGAGTATCCAATGCTATTCAAATTGACGAACCTTAAAGATTCTCGCCATACTCATGCTGGCGTTCTGGAGTTTGTAGCCGAAGAAGGAAAATGTTACTTGCCTTATTGGATGATGGTTAATTTGTTTTTGATAGAGGGTGACATACTTGCAATTGAAAATGTCTCGCTGCCAGTGGCCAAAGTCTCCAAATTTCAACCTTTCAGTGTTGACTTTTTGGACATTACTAATCCGAAGGCGGTTTTGGAAAATGCTTTACGTAATTTCGCTTGTCTAACTACTGGTGATATCATAGCCATCAAATACAACAAGAAAGTCTATGAGTTGCGCGTTTTGGAAACAAAACCAGGCGATGCGGTTAGCATTATAGAATGCGATATGAATGTGGATTTTGAAGCTCCTGTGGGATATAAAGAAAAAGTCGAAGAAAAGAAAACAGATGAAGCGTCGCAAGATCATGTTATGGAGGAAGTGATCGAAACATTCAAAGGCGCAGGAGTACGTTTAGATGGCAAGAAAAAAAAGGAAAATCAATTAGATACCAAAGGAGTTAAAAAGGTTAAGGCCCGAGGTGTCCCGGATTATGATTATAAATTTGGGCAGTTAACTTTCGATCGTTCCGTTAAGCCAATTAGCGATCGCGTAGTTGAAAATGATTCCAATCCTGTGCCAACTAACGATGGTTTCCAAGGTCAAGGTTGCTCCATGAAGAAGTTACGCAAATAAATGTCCTTTTCATTGTTTGCTTTAGTATGAGATTGTAGTGCATTGAATAAATGATGTATGATTTTTATTCGAAATTCCGTTTTATTTATATTAACTTGAAGAAGTTGAAGACCACGTATCTATTTGCATGGATTGATAAAAAGTAATCTTTACCAAATACCCACAACATTCTGAATATCCATTTATTCACGCTATTATTTGCTGGAAAGATTATACATTTTATCAGCAGCAGTCAGCATATAAAATGAATCCAAAGAAGAGTACAAGTGGTTCATTAAGCCCACATTGCATGCGTTGTGGTAACAGTTGTATTTATTTGGAACCACGTAGTGCTTTCTATTCTCGCTCCAAAATATTGCTTCGACTATCAAAAACATAAAACTCAATAGTGGGGGAGGAAGTCCTCAAATGTGATTGAATTGAACCTTGCTTCTAATTGAGACTTGATCCATTTGCCCATGTAGTTAGTCTTCCGTTGAACACGATCTGATTTCCCAAAATATCGCAAAAATTGTGTAGCATGGCGTAAACCGGAAAATAGGACAACAACTCACGAATTGTGACTGTCCACGAAGGTTAGATTGTGCAAAAGTAGGACTGCTTTTGGTATACCATGCACGTCCCACCAGACTCCTGGAATTAATGCCTTCTTGCCTGACCTTTGAGTGCGGATCTTCGGCGAGCACGGTGAAGTCTGTTGTTACCTCGAAGTTTCGAATTATCAAAGCGCTGTTAGGCCTCGATGTGCGCGTAACACGTAAACATATTAGGCTATTAGGTATCTCTCGATAAGCATAGCTTTCTACATCGAGCTCTTCCTGATTTTCTATAAGTAGGTTCACCTCACCACTACTTACATGCACTCGTAGCCCACAGTCATAGATCATTTTTGAAAGTGTCTGCGATTCGCTTAAAACCGCGAATAGATCTGCGTATCGCAGAATTTGCTAATTACAACTAAAGGAAGCATAGTTTTCTCGATTTTTTTTGTTTAAAATTTTCAATTGCGAACAACTAAGTAATAACTCATTATGCAGAGTGATTACTTACTAAAGCAATATATATGTTATTATAATACTTGTTTTATTTCTATCTCTCGTAAAATGGAATTATAAGCAGGGGATAATGCAGATTAAAAAAAGTTTGCTATACGCGCGGGCGTTAAATGATAATATTTACGATTACCTGCTTCGAACCAACAGGTAAAGACAAAACGAGATTATAATACAATAAGCAATTTATTTGCTATAGATTCACATTTTAATGGACTGCTGTGTTAAAAAGATCGCTAACTGGCCTTATCATGTAATCTAACGTAGTCGTTGAGAAAGATCGGAGTGTAGACTAATTTTAATTTAATGCAAGATGAATGGGAATATTTTGCCTTTCATTTAAAATTTGAAAGCGCACAATGTAATAAAATCTTGTCAAATATAAAAATCAAAGTTATTTTTAAAGCTAATCTGTAATCAATCCAATTAATGCATAAGCGCGAAGAAGCATATTCTCGTGAAATCTTCTGGTGGTACGACTACATCTAGATTGGTTGGCATGATTTTTTACACGGAATATTTAGAGGACTTTATAGCGTTGCGCCTTTTCAAATGTGTCTATCTAAAGGGTTTGTATTTTAATATTTTTCTTTTCGCGTCTCAAGGAAACGGCAATCAGTTTCTCTCAGAAGAACTTCTTGGACTGCTGCGTAGCCGAGGAGATAAGAGTTGTGACTACGAAGTTTATGTTCGCGAGGTTAGTGCGTTGCTTCGTCGTAGCTGTTGTAAGTACTTTGTCGGCCAAGGCATAGTACATGCCGACTAAGCATATGCGAATTGTGCGGCTACAGCCACGAATTTAGCTCATCTATGTCACGTTTTCCCTTCTACAATATACGCGACTTGTGGTACGGGATGTCTGTGCGAATGTATGCAACACGCAAAAGGACTTGAGATAGAGCCACCTTTTATTATACCGGTCGATTCGCAGTGACTTTCTAAGTGGATCTAAGCTGTCCGTGTGCTTGTCCGTCTTGTTTTCTTCTGTTTAACCTACAGGTCGCAATTTTCGAGACATTTTGATTAAATTTGCTATATCGACATGTTTTGGGCTATTGAAAATGGTTCGCATTGGACCGCTCGTTGTCGTTGTATGTATGATTGTATTAAGGGAAGTGGTTTAGGCTATTTAATGGTGGATCGTGTCCCACTGTAAATTCTTGACTTGTTTTTATTTTATTTATTTAATCGCATATGTTGATGCAGCTCGATTAGACAATGCTTAAGGTGAAAGGCTTAGTATTTATTTCTGTGTACCACGTGAACAATTAATCAAAACGAACATTCCAAAGTCTGCCGATGATGGGATATCCTATAGCAAAACAGTAGCACCATTATTTAGTACATTGGCGGATGTGAGCGCGATAATGCAGAATTTTAAATTTCATTTTAAACACGACGCCAACATCATATGAATATTAAGAAGTGTACCAGCACGGGTCCGATAACTTGATTACGTTATAAATCCCATGTAGATTTCGCAAGAGAACTTTAAATAAGCTTAAATGTTCATAGTTGGAGTTTGAGAACATCGAAATTCCTTAACGGATAGCTAGGAATATTGAAATTGATCTAATTTAACAAAGCCGGTGAGTCAAGTTGCCATTTATCAACTTTGTCATGAAAGTAACGCCTAAGATAAACCGGCGCTTCTATGTGTTCTGCTGCGAAGGACAATATCCAAGTAGGAACTTATTTGCAAGCGGTGGCACATGGATAAGTAAATACCTAATTAAATTTTTTAACCCTAAAAAGCAAGAATTGTTTTTGCAAAGATTGAATAGAATCAATATTGAAAACATAACCCCTTCCTATGTACACTTTTGTAAATACGCGCTCTCCAGAAATAGAAGCAAAGCGGACGGACCTTAAAATTTGGACTTATCAAGAGCACAGAGTCGCTGATGTATATATATGTGTGTGTGTGTGTGTTACAATCGGAAGGACAACTTTAGCATGTCCCCAGTCTTCTTGTTTTGAATGTGAAACTAAAAGATTTTTTCACATAATATTCAAATATATTTTTAACTTTATAATTAGGGTTTATTAGCCTTAAGGTAGTTGAATGAATCATTGGATAAACTCTCAGTCTGTAATAAACAGCAATTAGACAAGGCGAAGCACTGCTTGAACACAAAACCGAGGTTCACATATGCGCTTCAATGCAGCGAAAGAATAACAAAAACAACAATTTAATACGAAATATTTCATTTATTTATTTATTTATTTATTTATTTTTTTTTTTTGCTTTTATAGCAAAACGCTTAAATATTTACTTAATTAAAATTTTTTAAAACAAAGGCACAGAAGTGAGTAATAAAACCCAGAGCTTCAAATATGAAAAAATAAAATAAAAAAAAGAATTTAATTAAAAATAAATCTTATTTAATTAAGCACTAATCAATCGTTTTTGCTTTAAATTGAATGATTAATTATATTTAATAAGTTATTTATTTATTTTAAAAAATCTTTTTATTGAAAAAATTTGAAAATACACACACAGGTACGTGTTGAACGAACTTTATTAAGCGTAACTCTGCAAATATTTCTATAGAATTTACGAAACTGTGAGAAGAAACGCATTTTCACTTAAACTCGGTTTACAAATCTAGATCAGCTTTGCTTTAGATAGCTTAGCGATAAAACAATGGAACTTGTTGCCTTGCAATATCTTTCATCTGAGCAAAGGTGCGTTGTCTGTCTCTCTGCCTTTAATAAAAATTTAAAACTTCGTTCTTTACATATTTTTCTACCTGATTACTTCAGCCAAAGTTGAAATATGATCGAAAAGAGCTAAAAATTGAAAGAATTTTAAAAAAGTTTGCAGATTTTCAGATGTGTAAGACAGTAACTTAGTGTTACTTAGTGTTTTTTTTTTTAACTTTAAATAAATTTTAATTAAAATAGTGTATACTTTTCGTGTTAAAAATGTTTTAACGTTTTGTGCTAACATGACGACTACGGAAAAGATGTACTCATATAGAACCCGGTTCTAAATATTTCGTCCTAATGTACGGGAATAATAGAAGTGCATGTATGAAGGTACTTAGGGATTATTTTACAGCAACATGTGTGCGTATGTTTTAGATATGCGAAAAGAGCATAGGTATATAGGGAAAGGAATTCAGTGAGACAAAGGTTAACCTACAGCGGCTTCTCTCAACGTCTGCAAACCATTCGCAGCTTCCTTGAGTCAAAACCAATATTAGATGTAAGTTTCACTTCAATGAATGGCTTCTGCGTTTTTCAGTCACACACGTTCGGCGCACATACTTTAAAAAAGTAGAAAAATGAAAAAAGTTGTTAATGGGTTTGTTGTCTAGACGCTTTGGATCGTTCTTCCATTGTACTTTTTTAAGTTCTCGTTAAAGAACGTAGGTTGTGTTTATAAATTACGCATAAGCATTTTAATCGGTTTTTTTGGCTGTTGTTGCTGTAAGAGGATCTTTGTTTTCAACATGCGAAATAAAGGGTTCTTTGTTAATTACTCATAATCATAAGGCAAGATTTGTCCACGCCCATCCCATTTTATGCAGTATCGAAATTTTACTTTTTTCAATTTTTTTTTTTTTTTTTTGAAGGTAAAAGAGATAGGGTAGAAAAGATTCGGCAAGATCCGAATATAATTTGCTTACTTGTTTTATTTTTTGCAAAGTAAACATTGATTTACAATAGCGTACACTCTGAAATATATTAAAAATTTATGTTTGTTGACCTTTCACAAAGATAACCAATGGAATATACAGCGACTCATTTAAGAGTGCGCGCGCCTTTCCTACCTCTTCTTTGTTTTTATATATTTACAATTTTATTTATTATATAACTGGAAAGGGTTTCTTTTTTTATAAAGATACTTACTTATTCACAATAAACGCTTGCATACTTATATATTTTAAATGAATTAAAAAATAAAAACAATAATAAAAATTACAGAAAAACCTAAAACCCAAA